CTGCCACTTCCTCTGGCTCCATCCCAAGAGATGATTGTCCCCCTCAAAACTGATTTTCCCCAACCCTTTAACCCGCTGCTCCGGTCTCTGCCCGTGGCTGGCAGCCGGCGGGGGGTGAGGCCGTGGCGGTGGCCGCGGCGCCTGGACGGCGCCCAGGGGTTATCAGCAGGGGTGGCCCGGGCTGAAATAGCAGGGGAAGGAGAGCGGGGTGAGCAGACCTCAGCTTCTTGGCATGTTTGCTTGTGCTAAACCTGTAGCGCGAAAACTTTTCACAACAACACTCAGCGCTTGAAGCCGTCCCTGGCGGCATGTGCCCCGGCCGAGGGCGAGAGCCAGGGCTGGCTGGAGGCTGCTTTGAGCAAACAAACCGTGGCCGCAGGCACCGCGGCCGGCACAGCCCCGAGCCCAGGCCGCAGGGTGAGCACACACCAAAGAGAAAGCTCTTTCTCCCACAGGGTTGGGGGTTAGAGTGTCTGGGGGACAGTCACGCTCCCCCAGGGATGCTCTTGGGAGCTGTGGTTACACCATGTGTTAACCTCTGCACCCAGCAGAGCCTCACCAGCACCCTGTGTCCCCCAATACTCAACCACAGCCCCTCCAGAGCCTCACCAGCACCCTGCCCCCCCCAACACCCAACCACAGGACCCCCAGCATCCAACAGAACCTCATCAGCTCCCTGCCTCCTCAAACACCAAACCACAGCCCCTCCAGAGCTTAACCAGCACCCTGCATCCCCCAACACCCCACCACAGGACCCCCAGCCCCCAACAGAGCCTCACCAGCACCCTGTGTCTCCCAATACCCCACCACAGCCCCTCCAGAGCTTCATCAGCACCCTGTCTCCCCCAACGCCCAACCACAGGACCCCCAGCACCCAACAGAGCCTTATCAGCACCCTGCATCCCCCAACCCCCCCCCACAGGACCCTCAGCACCCAACAGAGCCTTATCAGCACCCTGCATCCCCCAACCCCCCCCCACAGGACCCTCAGCACCCAACAGAGCCTTATCAGCACCCTGCATCCCCCAACCCCCCCCCACAGGACCCTCAGCACCCAACAGAGCCTTATCAGCACCCTGCATCCCCCAACCCCCCCCCACAGGACCCTCAGCACCCAACAGAGCCTTATCAGCACCCTGCATCCCCCAACCCCCCCCCACAGGACCCTCAGCACCCAACAGAGCCTCACCAGCACCCTGTGTCTCCCAATACCCCACCACAGCCCCTCCAGAGCTTCATCAGCACCCTGTCTCCCCCAACGCCCAACCACAGGACCCCCAGCACCCAACAGAGCCTCACCAGCACCCTGCGTCCCCCATCACCCC